TCTTACATTTATTTGTTCGAGACTAGTTTCATATGTAGTAAAATAGACAGGTGTTTATTGCAAAATGCAAATTAACAGTGAAAATGTGAATATACTGATCTTTTACTAGGAGGAACATTTAGTAACTGGACCTCTGAGTTTTAATTGACCTTGTATTGTGCTGAAAAGATACTTTTCTTTTTTTAGTTTTTTTTTGTTTTGTCTAATTTCAAGTGTACTAAAAACTAGACCAAAAATAATTGGTAAAATTTTGTGTTTTTGCAGTGGCTGTAATGTGACAAAATGTGAAAAAGTTCAAGAGCATTCGTATTTTTGTAAGACAAAACAAAAACTCAACAGTCGGGTGATTGACTGGGATGACAGGGCGTTTTTTGTGGCCACTAGATGGCAGAAGAGGCGCTGAGCTGCATTTTGATGCACTGCACAGTCACTTCATCATTCATGTGAATCTCCAGGGAGGGGGCCGAGGAGAAGATGAGTCATCTCACTCTGAATTCAGTCCTTAAAACACAACCATTCACTGTCAACAGGCCCCGTCTTGCACTGATGCCATCTGGGATTTTTTTTATTTTAAGGCAGCTGCATTTGTTCTAATAATAATCTTTGACTTCATTTCTAAAAATGGGCAGCATTGATCTCTTTTCAACCCAAGGTTAAACACCTTCTATAAATAGTTCTATTAGTTAGCAATATATTTACTGCATTCGTTATTTATTATTGTACTGTTCTCCTACACAGCTGGCTGATTTTGCATGCATTTAACAGTAACATGAGGAACATCCTGGTTGTTGACCACATCAATCATTCATCCACCAGAGCAGCAAGGAGATGTTTTACGTTGTCCTATCTGTCTAAATGACAACTGTAGTGAAAAATGACCTCATATTTAAGCTCTTCACAAATCTGCAGCAGTGTTGTTAGCTCTTCTAATTTCAGCATGAAAGGAAGTATTTATATAATGGTGAACATTAGGGATTCAAATCACTATTCTGTCGAGCTGTAGGAGAAACAGAAGCTTGCACAGTGCGATATTATGATCAAAGGTCCAAATAAGGGTAAAAACCCAGCAGATGTGAATTGTTGCCAGAAGTGAGTAAGTTTCAAGGGGCAACAAATACGACTCTCAGTTTCCGCTCTACTATTCTTTGTGTCTCGTATTTCAGGCTGAAGTGGGTAGGACTGTCTTTACTGTAATACAGAAACATGAAGCCAGCACACTAAAGGAAGCCTGACTGTGGCTCAAACAGTCAAGACAAGATCTACAACAAATGCAGCATCTCTGGTTTATCTTCTTTTGTCTGAAATATTAAACTGAAATGTTAAGAAGTAATCATCAATAAACAGAAGAGATGCGTTGATGACTCATCAATGTCGTAGCTTGAATATAGCAATTTAATTGTGAAATCTGATTTGACTGACTCAGACTCACTGAAGTGTTTCATTGTCAAGTGTCTTATTATTATTAAAGATGTATTTCCAAAACTACAGCCTAAATTAGTAGCTAATTAGCATAGCTTGAAGGCTAACTGACACCAGCTTAGCTTGGTTGTCACTTCTTCCTCTTTAATTGACTCCGTTTACCACACAGTAAAACAACTCTCAAAAAAAGAGTGGTTTTGCAGTAAATAATAAATTAAGCTAACATGACAGGGCAGCCATTACTGTTAGGTTTCTATGCTAGCTGGGCTAACCAGCTGCCAGCGCTATCGTTAGCTAACAGTTTTAAGACATTTTCTTTCTGTTCAGTTGAGGGTAAAATGGGTTTTTTGTTCTCTATATCACATCCAATCAAGCTCCTCTTGGATTAGTTACTGAGATTATGCAAACTATGCAGCTAGTAATGTTTTGAGAAATTATTAAAGCAATCAAACAAAAGAAACAGGTGTTGCCTTATGCATTTTGGTATTGAAGTTAATAAAAAGCAGGTAAGAAGTATTACACAAGATTCAACAAGATTAGATGCTAATTACTGTGGAAGTGAAATAGTTATGTGAAAAAAGTTAGTCATTACCTTTTTATAAGAAAAAAACAGGTATTGTGTGTTTTTAGATATACAAATCCTGCTTAGTTGGAAAAAGGATGCACTTTTGGAGGAAAGTAAGTCATTGGAGGAAATGTTTCGGCATAGGCGATGTAAAAACTTTTTTCTTTTTTTTATGTTTTAGAACCGATGTAAGAATTTATTGAACACTTCTTCATAGAAGGGCTTTTAGTGCATACTGCAACATCCAGGCACACAGAATAAATGATTAAAGGATAAATTTAAGAAGAACAGCAAATTCAGGGTGTCTAAATTTATCCGACTTCACTCCACTCCAGCATCTATGCATATTGGCTAGGCAGAAAAGCCCGATGCATGAAAGCACCACCCTGCAACTTTCACAGCAGCTTAAAGGATTTGCAGCTCATGGCTTGGTGCCACAGACTGCAGCAGACCTTCAGAGGTCGAGTGATGTTAGGCTGATGGACCATGAAAAGCAGGAAAAAAGGAAAACCTGAGTAATATAAAGCAGGTGATGGTTCCTATGGTTTGTCTGTGCGAACTACAGTATTGATACAAATGATTTAAACTTAAGTAATGAATTTAACTTAAGACTTGAGATCATAACATATACACTTTTTTCAGACAATGCTTAAAATGTTTTAGGAACTTAAACTCCATAAGTTTAAGTTGGTAAATCTGATGTAAATGTAGCAAGTATTCATAAAAGCATCATAGTGAGTAGAGTTTTGTTTTATTTTTATGTGATTGAGAGTTAAAGTGTGTTATCTGAAGTAAAATATCTTGAATATTTCTATGAATTTACCATCTCCAATCATCATTTACAGCAGTGATTATCTTTACCAATCATTAATCATTTTATGTGACTATTGTCAATGTAACTGTCTAAAATCAAGACGTATTTTGAAAAATGAGCAGGTTTCGTATTCAGTTTTTAGCTGTGTCACGAGGTGTGTGTGTTGGCGGCTGGCTAGCTGCTATTTCTGACCGTGTTTATGAGAGTCCTGGCTGACTGGATTGGATTATTTGCTCAGGGCTGGCCACTAATGGCCCAAAGCATTCAGTGAATGGAACTCACTTTCAGTTGTTTTCCCCTGAAGGCCTTCAGGGAACAATGAACTACCATGGATGTAAGAGCTACATTTGTGTTGTCCAGCCAGAAAATCACACTGAAATAATTCTAACTACACTGAGATGGAAAGAAGTTATGCATTGAATAATCTGCTCATATTTCTGAGAGTAATGGGTGGAAGTGTTTCCTTGGATGAATACTTTGCTTATACATTTCATGAAAATCTACTTAATTTTTTTTCTACAACAATTTCTGGCTGTTGTTGAAGCTTTTTAATCATCAAAGAGCTGCATTGTGGATCAAATGACGGCTCTTAATCGCAGAAACGCAGAACAGTAGTTCTGTTTCCATGACGACCGTAAGCAAAATTTTGTTGATTTTCCGCTAATGTTGAAAAAACACATTTTCGCAGTTGTGGTGTTTCCATTAAACAACAAATGTAACTGAAATCACGTGAATAAGTCTGATCATGTGATAAGTTATTAAAAACATGCCTTGTCATGATCCTTCTACCTCTTCCTGTCGTCTCCTCCGTCCTTCCCGCCAGTAGTAACGTCCGGTTGCTGGTCACGTGACGCGTGTGACGTGGGAAAAATGTGTTTTCGTTGCAAGTTTAGCAAAATAAACAAATTCTCAAAATAAAACACCTTCAACAATACTGAAAAAAAAAATCGAATCTAATGTAATCAAGATCAGTTTTAAAGAACATATAAAATAAACTGACTACAGCTTAAATTCAGCAAATTTTGACAGAAAAGTCAGTTTTCTTTGTTTATTATTTCTGCGTGCCCTCTTAGTTAACCTTAGTTCTCCTTTTGTTTTAAATGAGACAAGTTGTCAACTTCAGTGAATTTACAGCCATCTTTAATAAAACACAAAATAAGCACAATCAGTAATGCTTCTGTTGCACAAGTCAATTCACTGAAACTTAAAAAAATATGTTAAATATGTGCTTCACAAAAACAAAGGCCACTGTTAGTGAAAAAAAAGACACATTAATATTTAAGATTTAATCACACTCATATATGATAACAATAATAAAGTCAGTTAATTTGCATAATAAACAGCATATATTGTGAAGAATGAAACAAAGCAACAGGAATGCAACATAATGCATCAAATCTGAACTGTTAATGCTGATAATTAAGCGTTGCCTGTTTTGCATAATATGACCATCTCAGTTTCAGCACTGAGAGCTGCACAGGATGAAATCTCTCCGTTCTTTGCTGCCACTGGATGCCATTTGTTCTCATGCGGTTTGTCAATCAGTGGCTTGTATTTCTCAGTGTTTGTGGTCCTAAAAGCATTTCAAGTACTTCCATTACAAATACAGACAATAACTCAGGAGCTCATGTTCTTAAGTGCACAGCAAATATACTTGTTTTATGAGAGATTTCAGGCATTTATAAAGGATTTTTATTAAAGCTACATACAGTGTCATCCACACTTCTTGGCAAATATGTGTGAATAACATTAGAATAAAATCGACTTTGCCAGACTTCACTCTAAAAGTCTCAGGTCTGGATTCTGTGTCTGGTGAAAGGTTCCTGTGTTGATCACATGTTCTTAGATCATTATCTTTCAGAAAGAATCATTAAAAGCTAAATTTCAGTTTTCTGACTGAAGCCAGCAGGTTAGGCTGTAAGATGTCCTGGTATTTCAAAGTGATGATGATTTTGTTCCTCCTCACACATCCTGGTTTTTTTCTTCTCTGCTCTAACCCATTAGCATGTGGTCCAGTTTCTAGAACAAACATTTTAGCACTTGAAATAAGACAAAACTAACTAACAAATAACTTTTCAACAAGGTATAGGAGCTTGTTTTAAGTAAATAATTACTAGTTAAGTGAAATAATCAGCAAGTGTAACAAGATGGTAGGACTGAAACAATTAATTGGATAAATTGTGAGTAGTTGATGATTAAAATAATTGTCAACTAATTTAGTAATCATTAACTAATTAATCAAGTAATTAATCATTAACTGGAGCATACCGATTTAACATAGGCCATTTTGCTGAAAGAATAATTCAGTCAGAGCAGTAATAAAGCTAAAACTTTGCAAAAATATATACATTTAAGATAATAATATAATAATAAAACTGTGTTAGTTCTACTTACAACTCCTCGGGTGGAATAGTTTTAGCTATTTATTTAAAATTAATCTAATTATTTGATTTATTATGTCTTTTAAAGTGTAGTATTGTATAAAAAGTATTAAATGAAAATCAGAATGAACTAGTTTTTTAGTCTGATTAATTAATTAATTATTCTATCATTATGCTGATCGCGTGACTCGAGTGACGTGGGAAAAACGTGTTTTCATAGCAATTTTTGCAAAATAAACCAATTCTCAAACTAAAAAACCTTCAAAAATCCTGAAAGAAAATCTAATCTAACATAATCAAGATTATCGATTATAATCGATTGCTAACATAATTGTTAGCCGCAGTAGTACAAAATCGTGGAACAAGACATTTCCCCATTTTAAATGTGGAGAAAATATTTTCTTTCACTGGCAAGTAATTTCACTTTTAACTAAAACTTTTTTTTTATCAACATTGACTTAAACCAGGCTCCTACGTCTTGCTGAAAAGTTACTTTTGCGTTAGTTTCATCTTGTTTCAAGTGTTCTAAGATATTTTCTCAATAAACTGGACCATAAATACTTTTTTGGTGTTTCTGCAGTGCATTGATTTTGTTTTTCCCACCACAGGAACATCGGAGCTGGCAGATGCCGCCTCAGGTCTCTCTGTCCCTCGATGTCTGCTAGTCGTCCTCGCCTATTGGATTCAGTCTCCCGTTCTTACTTTCCTGCACGTCCCCGTGGCTGAAGGCGAATCCCGCGGCCTCCGCTCCCTGCTCTCCGTACGCCAGAGGGAGGCTCACCGTGGAGGAGTGGAGACTCTCCCCGGTGTCGTCCTTCTCTGTGTTCCCACCTGAGCAGAAACTGCAGCAGCGTGGCGTGACGTAGAGGTAGACCAGGATCAAAACCAAACTGACCACACACGTTCCCAGGGTGGTGTACGCTGTTTTCAGATCTTCCAACCCGCACCTCTTGGTGCAGTTGAACACCACCACAGTAATGTGGAGTGTGTCACTGAGGGAATCATTGGTGGCGTAGCAGGTGTAAACCCCGGAGTCTTCCACCTTCAGTGGCTCGATTTTGAGGAAAGTACCGTTCAAGACGTTGCTGCTGTTCGCTGACATGTTTCCAGGCAGCACCCATCTCTTCGCCATGTACTTATGTCTGGTGTCGCAGTCGAGAAACATGGTCTCCTCCAAGTAGCCTTCTTTCTTCAGGTTCTTGACTTCACTGCAGTTCAGCTTCAGGATTTTTTCATTCTGTTTACCTGGCATGTTACATGTGTGGCTGTCTGCAAAGTCAGACACAGAGCTTAGCTCCCGGAGGTGCCAGTAGGCCACCAGGTCATGCAGCTCGCAGCTGCAGGTCAGAGTGTTGTTGTGGAAGTAGACGCCCTTCTTGAGCCAGGCGCGCATGGCCCGCAGCTCCTTCACCGGAAGAACTTTGATCCTGTTAAAGGAAACATCCAGCAGCTTGAAAGGAGAGTCCTTCTTGCACTGCTTGAAAGGAGAGAGCTCCTGGCTCCGCTCCTTCAGCACTTCCACAGGGAAGCGTGAGATCTTATTGTGGCTCAAGTAGAGCTTCTGGAGAGCGACCATGGTGTGGAAGGCAGAGCGGTCGATTTGAGATATGCAGTTGTTGAACAGCAGAAGTATCTCCAGTTTTTCCAGCGGCTCAAAGATGAACTCGTCCAGGAGGGTCAGGCGATTGCTGGAGAGGTCCAGGTAGCGTAGCCTTGTCGTGTGCACGAAGGCCTCGGAGGAGAGGAAGGTGAGGTTGTTGTTGTTCAGCAGCAACGTCTGCAGCTGGTTGAGATCAGTCGACATCCATGTAGCAAGGAGTTGAGTGATGGAGTTGAAGCTGAGGTCCAGGACTACCGTGTGCTGAGGAAAATCGAAGGTGGCCTTGGTTAGACTCACATTAGAGCAGCTGATGATATCGCTAGCACACACACAAAGCTTGTGGTGGTCCTGAGGCTTCCTTTTTAGCAGCCTATTAGCTCTAACCACAGGAAGCACTAAAGCTAGAAGCAGAAATAGGATGAAGCATCTTTTTGACATCATGTTGAGATTCTTTCTGCAAGATCCTGATTACGGCGTCTCAGGGTCCAGAGCGGATTCTGGATGCTGTAAAGACACAAAACAAACAACATGTATTACAAAAGCTACGTTCAAATTGTTGCACTGGGATATAATGTGATGAACCAACACAAACTTGAGGATAATTCTGGAACAGAAGGAAACTGCTGGAGAATTATGGTCTTCAAATATTTTTTATAGTTGACGCTCTGATGAAGCTCTTCCCGAATAACGTCAAATTTGCTCATTAATATGCAGAAGCACACTAACTGACTGGATGTTTTGACAAACAGAGGACAAATTTAGAATGAAAACATCCGAAATGCGGATCAGTTTGGAAGAACGTCCCGGAGCTTCATCTCTACGTGATTCAATACAGAAACACGGTTTGGAAAGAATTAAACGTAGAAAAATCACAGTGAGAGGAAAGGAGGCAGAGTTGGTAGAAAGCTAGCACAAAGTTGTTTGGGCCTACTCAGCCACATTCTAGTATGTGTGGGTAAAAATTTTAATTCATTAATACATTGAAAACATTTTTTTCCAACTTCGTATCGATTCGGAAAAGGTTGTGAATTGATTAGATCTCCTGTCTCACCATGAAAAGGAATAGAAAAACCTCCCCTCATATGCTCACAGTCCAAATATCTTGAGTAAATCAATATTGTAGTCGATGTTGGTTCTACAACCTCCTGGAGGCTGAATTCAAGTACATGCCACAGGATGTACTTGTTGCAAACATTTTTATTTGCTGAAAAGTTTGAAAGCTATTATTTTCAAATAGTTTCCATTGGTCTATCACATAAAATGCTTATAAAAAACATTGAAGTTTGTGATTATTGTTACATGAAAAGCGTAAATAGTTTTTCAATGCATTTTTTTTGTGTGAAATTTTTTTTTACCAAAACAAAGGAAGAGATGCCACTTCACTATGAGTTATTGTGAAGCAAAGTGGTGCAGTGGGGGAGCGACAACAAAAAAAAGTTGTGTGTAGTCTGCAAAAATCGAATCACCAACACACAAATAATGATTAAAATGACTAGTTTATCATTGTGTCAAATGAAAAAATAAGATTATGACATGCAGTTTACTCCAGCTCACTGTCCTTTCAGTTTTCGCTGCAGAGCAGTAAACATTTGTCCCGTTGGACGGAGGGTGCCGTCCTCCTTTACCTTCAGCCGGTGTGATCAGGAGTCTGTGCTACAGGACGGGCTCATCCTCTTCCTCTCCAGCAGCGGGGATCAGCAGTCTCATCCGTCAGTCCGGCACCACGGAGAAGAGCGGGGTTTACTGAGCACACCAGACCTCCTGGGGGAGTAATGCAGCCGGCTGCTATCCGATCCGAGGGGCGTGAACAGCAGGGGAGGGGCCGGGGCTCCTCTCTCCTCTGCTCCTCTCTAATGTCTCAGTCACATCACTTACAGGCTAAAATGACATTTATCAGACCAGAGTGTTGTAGGAAGGAACAGGGTAAGAGAAAATGTTCCACTTGTGCATGAGAAAATCTGCTTAGATGCAGCACCATCAACTGATAGTCACAAGATATCAGAGCATTTTTATAGGTGGCAGCGAGTTTTTATCACATGAACATATACAACATATACAAGCTGTGTCCCTCAGGCAAAACCTTAAACCTATGTCCAGTTCTTTAAAATTAATCACCAAGGATTATTAAATTCTTTTGAATTTGTGATTGAATTGTTTGATTTTATCATTTAAAATCTAAGATTTTTTTTCCTTCCATAGCTGTGCAGAAGGTCAGGACAAAGACTCTGTGCACAACCTGCAGCAGTCATTAAAACGAGACGTGAGGAGCATGCAGAGCCTGATGAGATTTCAGCTTTAGGAGCATGAACATCATGTGCTTCATGAGTCCGATTAAATCTGCTCAATGTGGGGTAAGGAAACATGATCAGCTAAAAAAAAAAAAAAAAAAAAAATGTTGGAAGCAAAGAAATAATGCGGCAAAATGTGCCAATTAATTTCACAAGAACTAGTGAAGCATCACTCCAGCTCTTGATTGATTTCCTTATTAAAAAGTTAGAAATGGGATCATCTTAAAGGGACAGCATTTAAATTTAAATTGGGCTTCTGTTTCTTCAAGAACTCCTACTCTTTATGACATGGCTCCTCTATTAACCCTTTAGTAATGTTTATTTTTTACCAGTGTTGCACTAAGTAGCTTGTATAATGAGCTCAGAAGATATGCAGCTCTAACAGGTGTTTGCTAATTGCTGCCGCTAGTCTGAAGGAGCTGAGTGGAGGAGTCGCTGCTCTGTGAGGAGGACGCTTGGAAGCTGCAGCTCAGAGGGGGAGCTGCGCCTTGAACGGCGGTGCTGGAGCAACCCAGGTGTGTTGCACAGCTGAATGGTTGCCATGGAGACTAAAGGATCTCTCAAAGATGCATGAAAGAATCAAGGCAAGACTACAGGTATGTTTCTGGTGAGGGATGTAAAGTTACAAAAAGTTGATTTTATGTAAAACTAAAAATGAAGAAAGTGTCTGCTTAGTGATGTGCATGAAAGATTATATAAATGGACTGAAGATAAAAATGTTAGATAAAGTTAACAGAGATCTATTTGTGGATTTGCTCGCACAGTTGAAAGAGAAGACAAGTAGATAATTGGTGGAAATGTGAGTTTTGATTTAAAAGCTTCTCTATTACAGTAATGTCGTTGTTGTCATCAAAAAGAGACGAGCGTGAAATATTCTGAAATGTTCTGGTGAGTTTGGACTTTATAAAGCAGTATGAACCAACACATGCAGCTGATATGGGATCCCAAATCACCAGTGACTATGGAAACTTCACACTGGACTTTAAGTGATTTACAAAATGCACTTTTGTGTCAGAAGAGGACTTTAAAGCAGCACCATGGTAAGACGTTTCTGACATTATTTCCATCTGTGGTTTAGAAATGGTATCCATCTGGTCCATGCCACGTTTATTCCCTGAGTGTTTGAATTGAGATTTTTTTTTTTTGTAGTAAAGGAGACCAATGCTAAATCATCTAATCTGAATAGTAATTAAGTAAGTAGTAATAAAGGCTAATATGTATCTGAACAGTTCAGCTGATTCATGATGCGTTATTTATTAATTTTTCAAGAAAAGTATTACATCTTTAAATGTACTCTTTCCTTCTCTTTTTTATTCCTTGCACATAAGTAAAGTAATGAATTAAAATGAATGAATTAATAATTGAGGTTTTATACTTGCTGCTAATGGTTACACATTCTTGTAATGTGAGGGTTTGAGTACAACGTTACATTTTATTTCTCAACCTCTTTTTCTGTTATTTTTTCCAAAGCATCGATAAAATAGACCATCATACTGTTGATTTTATAGGCTTACATTTCTGCAATGAAAATTACTTTATTATCGTGTTGAATTACATTTTCATAGCTGTTCCTACGACAGAATGATGACAACTTTAAAAAGTAAGTGATTTTTTTGTTGAATTGCTGAAAGAAATGTACTTCTTGAAACAAATTAGCCTTATTATGCAAGCCTATTTTATTGAATTGAAATAACTATGACTATATGATGCAGGAGTTTTGAAACTCGTGCTGGATTTAGTTGTCAGTAAATAATACCACAAACTGCTTGTCATAACCTGTAAACAAAGAGAAGAATGAAAGGCAGCCATGTTGCCTTTAAACCAGCAGGATCGTAATTGCTCCCGCAGCTTTTGACGCTTTAAATGAGAGCGATGTTTTGCCGTAGCGCAGTCACGATCACAATGCGGTATTGTCTCCCGGGAGATGTGATTTTTAGCTCAGCAGCTGTCACAACAGCCTTTTCAAGGGCTGCCGCGGTTTGATCTGCACTGAGCTTTGGAGGATCAGATAGAAAGGTTGATTTAGATGTTAGACTGATTTTTGTTTCTGCTGTGAATTATAAACGAGGAGCCGCCGGGGGCCACCGGCAGCAGGTAATAAGGTAAACATCCAGAGACGCCCGGTGCGCACCGGACCATTAGCTTAACGAGTTCAGCCTTTTTACTCTGCTGGGTAGTAAATGGAGACGTGAATTAAACTCTCTGATGAATTGAAGGCCATCCATATCGATTTTCTTTTGATTATGCATTAATCATTATTAACAAGTAAAGCAACTGCAGATTATTTTTCAATACAACCAAAAGCTCTCCAGATGGGTCAAAATGGACGTCAATTACTTAAATACATTTAATTAAGTTTACACTATAAAAAAAGAAAAAAGAAAAGAAAAAGAAACTCCTAATTTACATATCTAGTTTTATGCTTCTGGATGAATTGCCACATTAGATTTTTTTAATACCATTTATTTCCTTTTAACTCGTCCTCCAGTTTATTTTTAAAGTCCATTTGGGTGTGAACACAAGAGTTTGACCTCAGTCACACAAAATAAGCCTAGACTTTGCTGTAACAGTTTTTTTCCCTTCTTCTTGGGAATTGGTTTGTTTGGTTTCGTGTAAATACGGATAAATAAAAAATTATATGGTAAAATTCTGGGGACCACGGCTGCCGGTATTTTACCGAAAAGTAGATTTTACGGTGTAGTTAAAGTAGCGTTAATTCCCAATAAATATAATCTCAAGGTGCTTTGGAAAATATAATGTTACTGGACTTCAGCTGTACAGAAGATGACTGGGGAAGCAGAGATGCAGTCCCTAAGTTTTTTTTGCATTCTGTTTAAAAATGTTTGAAGACTCTGTGACAGATTTACAAAGCTGCTTGAAGGAGTTAAATATGTGTTAGTCTAAGTTTGAGTGTCCTTAACAGAAAGGCTTGTCACTATTCTGTTTCCCCACATTTAAATAATTAGGACATTTTTTCCCCTGCATTTATAAAAAGAAAATAGCATTCTGTTTTCAACTCGCTAATTGATTTTTATTTTTTTTTACTGTGTTTGTGTTGTGACTCTGCGAAATAAACTGGGATGACAAAGAAATGTTTACATATTCATGTGTTTAATGCAGATTTCTGGTGCAAATCTGTTGCAAAAAAAAATAAAGGTGACCACACTGCTTTGTGAATTCCCTTCTCTCTGCAACAAATACTTGTAATTGTTCTGTAGTCACTTCATCCTTGCAGGCTGATTCACACACCTTTTGTGGTCAGATTGATGGGGTATTACCTTGAGAGGTTACCAGGGCAACAGAGAGACACAAAAGACAGACAACCACGCTCAGGCATGGAGAATTGATCATACATGCGTCTTGTTTGTGCACAGATAAAGGAAAACTCTACACAGACTGAGATGAAAACCTGGACCTTTTTATAGATAATCAGCAGTGCAAGCAACTGCAACAACATTCAGCCGACTGTCACATCATGCTAACCCAAATACTTCTGTCATAAATCCTCTTTTTGACTTAAAAATGTTTGGATAAGACTCCAAATTAGACTGTCATTTTTTTCAACACTTTGAACGAAAGTTATGAACGTTATAAGTTATGACTCAAACATGATTATATGCTTGAGTCATGAGGAAGCAGAGGTCAAATACTTCATGCATGTACTTCATGAAACTTGAAATATAGGTGGGCATTCCTCTGACATTCTGCACTGCTACATGTATAAGAACAATCATTGTAAGGTAATTTGATCTGTTCAGCAAATTTTCAGCAACAAGGCAATTCAAAGTGCTTTACATGAATTAGAGGAAATACAAACGAAATGAAGAGCTGTTGCCGTGCAGCAAGAAAGTTCTGGGTTCAATTCCCGGCCCCGGTCTTTCTGCATGGAGTTTGCATGTTCTCCCTGTGCATGCGTGGGTTTTCTCCGGGTACTCCGGTTTCCTCCCACAGTCCAAAAAACATGACTGTTAGGTTAATTGGTCTGTCTAAATTGCCCCTAGGTGTGTGTGTGTGTGCGCATGGTTGTGTGTCTGTGTTGCCCTGCGACAGACTGGCGACCTGTCCAGGATGTACCCCGCCTCTCGCCCAGAACGTTAGCTGGAGATAGGCACCAGCACCCCTCCCGACCCCACTGAGGGACAAGGGTGTTCAGAAAATGGATGGATGGACAAACGAAATGACAAAAGAAAAACAAAAAGTGCTCCACAGTTTATAAACTAATATGAGTCTCTGGATAAACTAATAGAAAAGAGAAGTAAAAGTTTGTTCTAGTTCCTGCTCTGAGTTGAGTGAAAGCTAAATGTTACTAAACTGTATTATTATTCTTTTATTAAATCATAAGAAAACAAATTCAAATTGACCATATTAGGAACAGTAAGGAGGCATTTATTAATCTCAAACAACTATATTTTAATAATATGAATTAATATAAAGTTCTGTTACTTTCTGTGTTCATGGTGAACTGAATACAACAGACTTTGAATAAGTGAACTTATTATGAACATTGAAAAAAAAGACACCCATTTAGTCTAACAAAAACATAAATCACGTCTTGTTTAGGAGAAACGGCCTATTTAAAGCATGCTGGGTGTGTCTTGCCATGTCTGTGTAACATGATGATGATCTATCAGAGGAGTTCACCGAGCCAATTACTGTAAACTCATATCACATTGATTCCACTGGACGGCTGCTGCTGCACATTGTACAATACAGTGGACACACTGCCTCCATCTGGCCAAACCTGTAAGTTCAAGTGTCTGATCCGTGGACTGAAC